AAAATCAAAAAGCGAAATGGGTCAATAATAATAATTGTACCTAAAATCTACTGACTGTACCCAATGTACCTTTAAGTCATCAAACGTCGGAAAAAGGTACAATTGTACCTACTTGTTCATCCCTTGTTGAGATAGCGATATTTGTCGCTAACTTGTTTGAGAATAGCCCCACCGGTGTATGTATGTATGCATGCAAATCTATAGTGTGTCCAACTACTGGCGAAATATATTTTAATTAGTGTTTAGGTAGGAAATAAAGGATCGAATACATCTGCTCAGACCCAACGAGATCAACTCAATGAGAGACCGGTATGCTTGCATGTATTTATAAAAAAATAGTTTTTTATTGGACCAAAAAGTAGTGAATAGGCACTGTGGCCAATGGTAACCATCTGTTACAGTGGCGGACCCAGGTAGGGGAAATTGGGGAAATGTCATTACAAGAATCCCACAAGCTACTTGTAGAAAAACTCGGGCAAAGTTCAAACTGTGAGAGTATATCAAAGAAACTCGAAAACTTACTTGCGGAGCGCGTATATGTAACTCGAAATGACTTCGAGAAGCTTGGGGAACAAACCTAATGAATGAATGCTTTTGAAAATTTTAATTCATGGAAAAAGTATGTCAAATTTCACTTGAGTTTGAAATTTTAGCTGTGTGCTAAGCTCGAAGTATTATGTTATTTAAGTAGGCCTAGGGAATTTTCAAAATTTTTTTCAATTATGTACTTAGTTTGAATATTTTCACAGGTTCAGAAAACCACGAAAGTTCCAAAATTTTGAATTTTATAATATTATTAAATTTCTTATTTTTAGGATAATTTCCAAAATTTCAAAAATTATCGAAATCCGGGAGCTTCTAGAAATTTTGGTAAAATGAGAATATTTTGAAATGTACAAAATTATTGAGATTTTAGAAATTTTTATATTTTCCAAAATTTTGAGAATTTTACTTAGTCTAAAATCCATCCTAGAATATAAAAATGTGAAACAACACAAATTGTCGAAAAATTCTTATGTTCATGTACTTGTGTGTAAAAAAATTGTTCCACTTTTCTGAACTTTTCCAAAATTTTGTATTCATATAACAAAGTTTGAGAATTTTAAATTATTTGAAAATTTTGAAAACATCAACGTCCAAAAATTTTTTGAATCTTCAAGAACTACGAAAATTTTTAAAATTTTCAAAAACGACGAAGTATGAAAATGTTATCAACATTCGAAAACTTTTAATTTCGTTTGATCAATTTTGTATATTCGACACTTTTACTTAGAAAAAATTTCTTATTATTATTATTATTATTATTATTGTTGGGGATAGAGCACTGCGACCTTAAGATCTATTGTACCCCCTGCACAATAGACCTAAGGTCGCAGTGCACAGCCTCTAACATTCTGTCTTCTACCCCCTTCATGGATTATAGTGTGTCTATTAATCCAGCATCCGAGAGAAACTTTAGTATAGAACCTAAGTCTACGGATTTCACTTCGCCTTTGGTTATCAAATGTTCACCCAGGTGTCTTTTGCGTTTATGCATCAGTGCAGGACATTCTTCTAAGATGTGCTGTGCAGTCTCGTTTTCCATCCTGCAAAATCTGCATCGCTCATGCGAGTAAATTCCCAGTAGTCAGGTGATAGTTCAGCCTGCAGTGTCCTGTCAGGATTCCTGTAACAATTCTTAAGTTATTCTTTGATAAGCTCATAAATTGCTTGAAGCGTTTTAGGTTATATGTTCCTAAAAGTGCTTTGGACTGCTCTAGACCTGGTAGGTTATCCCAGTAGTGATTCCTCTGAGCTTCTTCCTCTAGCCGAACTAGTTTAGAGAGTGCCCCTTTTCCCAGGCCGCAGAAAGGTTCTGGACCGGTGAAAGGGGTTGAAGCACCTTTCTTCGCTAGTTTATCGGCAATCTCGTTTCCTTTAATACCAATATGTCCCGGAATCCAGAGAACCCAAACCCGATTGGTCAGACCAAGAGTATTCAGCTTGTCGAGGCACTCCATCACCAGTTTAGATGTTACCTGGTGAGATTTGAGGGCCTTGATAGCCGCTTGGCTGTCAGTCAAGATCGCGATGTTCTGATTCCGGTAGTTTCGCTTGATATTAAAGTCCGCGCATCTTTCTATGGCGTATGTTTCAGCCTGGAAAATAGACATATGTTTCCCCATGGGTTCCGAGTATCTTATACTCGGTCCAACTACCCCTACCCCGGTACCCTCGTCGGTCAATGAGCCATCAGTGTACCAGGTAATGATGTTTTGGTTTATCCGATATGTCTCGGATATGCCTGCCCAGCTCTTCTTATTACTCAGTTCAGTCTTAAACCTCTTTGTAAAGCTGAACCTCGGATGCATGGTATCCCTCGGTATTGCAATTTCAGGGAACTTATTCGTAAGAATATCTAACTTCCCACGACCAAGACACCCTGCTGCCCCGATATTGGTACCAGTCATCCGTAGTAAAGCTCTTTTCGCCTGAGTCTGTATGTAAATATGAAGAGGGGTAAGATCTAAAAGAACCTCCAAGGATGCGGTTGGACAGGTTCTCATGGCTCCCGTTATGCATACACATGCCAGCCTTTGTATCTTGGAGAGCACTTTGATTGCTCCAAGTTTTGAAGTTCTATCGGCCCAAACGATGGCTCCATAGGTTACCATGGGTCGTACTATTGTCGTATAGATCCATCTCAGTATCTTTGGTGTGCAGCCCCAACTCTTACCTGCCATGGACCTACACGTCATAAATGATCTTAAAGCTTTCTTCGCAGTTTCTTCTACGTGTGCGTTCCAGAGTAGTTTTTGATCTAGTATTACTCCTAGGAATTTAACCTCTTTTTGGTACATGATGTTGGTTCCATCTAGCCTTATCGCTTTTAGACTATCAAGTTTGTATTTCCTTGAGAATGGTACTATAGTGGTTTTTGCTGGATTTACATTCAGCCCCACTTTGGCACACCATTTTTTGGTTACGTTCAGCCCTAGCTGGATTCTATCACACAGGGTGTTTTCGAATTTCCCCCTGCATAATATTACAATGCCGTCGGCATACCCCTGGCAGGTTAGTCCAGTATCTGTTAGCTCTTGGAGCAGTCCGTCGACGACTATATTCCATAATAGTGGAGATAACACTCCACCCTGTGGACAGCCCCTTGTTGTTCCGGCAACAACTGTATTATTCGTACAGGTTTGTATTTCTACCCTTCTGGTGCGGAGCATGCAATTAATCCAGGCTACGAGGGTATTGTTTACCCCCCTGCTAATCAAAGCACTGTTTATTGCAGCATGTGAGGTGTTGTCAAACGCCCCCCTCGATGTCCAGAAAAGCGCATATAGCAGTCTCCTTATTTTCTAAGCTATCTTGATGTGCGCATGTCAGCGCGTATTGGGCGGTTTCAGTAGAGCGGCCCGCCAAATATGCATGCTGGCGCGAATTCAGTGGATAGTTAAATAAGACCGTAGTCCTTACATAGTTATCTACTACCTTTTCTAAAGCTTTTAATACAAATGAGGTCAGGCAGATCGGCCTGAAGGATTTTGGATGAAGTGGGTCCTTCTTCCCAACCTTCGGGATGAAAATAACCTTCGCTCTTCTCCACGCATCTGGTATATAACCCAATGCTATGCTGCTTCTAATTATTTTTAATAGCGGTCCAATCACGCATTCTAAGCCCTGCTGTAGCATGCCAGGGAAAATTCCATCCGCTCCCGGTGACTTCAGTGGTTTGAAGGTTTTTACCGCCCACCTGAGCCGGGGCTCGGAGCATATTTCCTTAGCCACTAACCAGTTTCCTCTGCTTATTTTACTGCACTGCTCAGTCCGATCTGTTTCGGAATAAGATGTAGATCCTGGGAAGTGAGTATCTATGAGAAGTTTGATCTTCTCCTCCTCGCTCCCAGTGAAACTCCCATCACTCTTCCGTAGATTTGCGGACGAAATACAGTTCGTTTTTTGCCATTACCTTATAGAGTCTTGTTGCCTCCGTAGTATCTTCTATGCTTTCACAGAAGTTCCTGTATTCTGACCACTCCCCGGTTCGTTTTGCTCGATTGAACAGCTTCCGGACTTTGGTTCTGAGTTTACTTAAGTTGTTGTTCACCAGGGTACATCCCTGGAGGAACGTACCTTACTTATAGGACAACTGTCTTCATATGCGTCAATGAGTAGTTCATTGAAGCGCTTTGTGGCGAATTCTAGTTCTTTTTCGTTCCTGATCTTCTGACCTAGCCCAGGTTGTGCTACATTCAACCTCAGGTTGTCTTTGAACTTCTCCCAGTCTGTCTTCCTGGGATTTCTTAAAACTATATGTATAGGAGGGGTTGCTTCAATGTCAAACCTTATTATTCTATGATCTGACATGGAGGGTTCATTGGATACTCTCCACTCTTTCACTAGCGCTTTCGTTTGAGTATTCCCTATGGTAATATCAAGGACCTCTTCCCTTGCGCGGGACACAAATGTTGGTATGTTCCCAACATTAAAGATTTCTAATTTATTTCTAAGGATAAATTCAAGAAGGTACTCACCCCTTTGGTTGGTGTCACTGCTCCCCCATGCCTCGCTATGCGCATTTGCATCACACCCGAGTATCAGGGGTAGCTTCCTAGCCTCGCAGTACTTCACCAGTTTAGTGACAAGCTCTGGTGCGGCGTGCGTGTCATCTCCTGGGAAGTAGCCCGATGCAGCTACGATGTCCTGGATGGTCCCGTTGATGTTGACTGGGACTTGGACCGCTACTCGATCCCTCGACAGGAAATCTGAAAGACATATATGTTTCAAGCTATTAGTTATTAACAAGCACGCCCTAGGATTCGTACACCTAGTATCCCAAATTACCTGCCTGTTCTCTACTGCCAAGCCTCTTATTTGGCCCCTGATGACCCAGGGTTCTTGTACCAGCACTATTCCCAGTGTAGACCTGAGGGTTGCCCTAGCGATAACCGCAGACGCGGCCCTCGCATGGTGTACATTTATTTGTGCAACCTTAGTTCTGGTCATCGTCGCAGTTATTGGCGTTCATCGTCTTCGTCCGTTGTCAGAGTTTCGTCAAACTCTGACAAGGTGGCTCTCTCCGAGTCGTCATCAGCACAAATGGTCAGTAGCCCGAGGTCGAAGTCGTCTATCCCCTCCATCTCATGAGGTAAAAGACTGACTTCCTCTACTACCGCGCTCCTAGCTGCTTCCACGGCTACCATCTCAGCCACCTCCTTCGGTAATTCCGAACCACCTGGTGGAGTATCTGGCTTGACTATCTTCGCCATCGGTTCCCTGCCCTTGTGCACATGCACTGGAGCACTACCAAACCTGTATCGTAGGATGCAGTTTTTCTTTTTGATAGCGTCCAACGACCGGTCGTCAATCCCGATCGTTAGCAGTTTGCCCGTCTTCTCATCATTGCTCCTATAAACCTTCCATAGGTCGGTATGCATTCCCTCATTTTGTGCTATAATGAGGTTCAGCAGTTTCTGCGTGTCCACTCCTGCAGCTTTTGGTAGGTACGTAGTGATTACGTGCACCCTGGGTATGTTGTCCCCATCGCACGTAGTCAGTTCCGCACCATCCCAGTCAGGCAGTTTTGGGACAATTTCGCGCAACCATTCGGCTGATTCTGCATCCAAACAGTCGACCAGTATAAGGCCTGGCCGAAAGTGGATGCCGTCGAATTGGAGTATTGACCTCCAAACCTTACCCATCTCCTACACAATGGCGTCCTCAATCTTTCCCTGATCCTCCCGAGTGAGAGTACTCTCAGGGAAAGCCTTCGGCAGAACTGCCAGTCTAATGCGCTTAGTGGCGCTAGCATAGCTAACACCCGGCTTCCTGGCCCCTGCCTTAGGTTTTGGAGCCACTGTTTCAAGACGGCTCTTCTTCTTCTCCGGCTTTCCTTCAGGAGGACTACCACCCGTTAACTGTCACCGGGTTTTTCCCGATCTAGGGGTGCCTTTTTCTCCGGATTCCCCTCCGGAGTACTAGCTTACGCAACCACGCCTGTGCTGTCACTGGACTTCTCCCGGTCCAGTACTTTCTTCTTGGCCTCTTCAGACGTTAAGCCTTTGTTTAAGTAACGCAGGTACCATTTGGCTCCTGCGCCACTCAAACCTGTGGCCTTTCTGACGTCCCCGAATTTCCTACACTGTCTGGTCGTCAGTCCAGTACTCGTCGAGGCCTGTGGTATATCATCTTTGGGTGCCGGTGTGTTAAAGACTCCCCAGTCAGGATTATAGGGTGGGAGGAGGGAAAATGGGATGGGGAGGGATTAAGGATAAGGACGTCGGTGCGGTGATCTCGCATGGAAACCAGAGTGGCTAGTATCACACTTACCCAGCGGGCGAGGTTGATACAGCGGCATCAGGTCACCATACTAGCTTCCCTCTTGGTTCGTGGTGATATGACGGTTGCCGAAGCAGCCGCCATAGTACCACTTAAGCCCCATCCCCGCGGCAAGGAGAGCGACACAGATGGAGAAAAAATTTCTTAGAATTCCTACAATTCTCAACATTTTTAAAAATAAAAAAATTCTATAAATCTAGTATTCATCATTATATTGAATTATTGGGATTTACTATAATTTCTCAAATTCACAGTTTTGAAAGTTTAGAAAATTTTGGAATTCCACTCAAGTTATTAAAAAGGGGAAACTTCCAGAAATTAAAAACTATCAAAACTCTAAAAATTTTAAATTGTGCTGATTTTTAAATTTATATGCACGATATATGATGAAAATTTTTATTATCTTTCAAATTGAAAAATATCCTAAAAAGCACGCTAACGCAAAATTTGCAAAAACTTGCAAGATTTTTGTATAGCTGATCCGTGAGAGAGAACAGATAAAAATTAATTAGAAATTTGCTGTTGAGTGTCTTCTACTGGAAGAATACGCGAATACACCTATTGCAAAAACCAAGGTCCAAACAGCGCTGACTCCAACAATGTCATCCGGATGCGCTCAAAAACTAATGTCATTGACGAAATGCAAGTGAAGTTTACTTCTAAAACACCACCAACTATCACAATCGAGGACAGTTCCGGCAAACACAGTCCAAAGAGTGTTTCAAATGATCCTTCCTCTCTCTCTGTTCAAAGTGCAGTTGATACGATCTAGGGAT